GCAGAGTCACTCGGACATGCGCCTATTCGAATTTCTCGAAGGTGCCCGGGTCTTTTTGGTGCCCAACTGCGGGCTTCACCCCCGGAAAGTAAAGCTCCCCGAACCATGCTAGCGGAGAGTAGCTTCTTTGATGTCGCGGCTTGTTCTGCTAGTTCAGATGCGCCCCGGGGATTTCCAGCCGATACGCGACGCTAGTACGCGCTGCTCGTTATCGTTACAAGTCCACCCGTCACCATTATGCCACCCACCAAAGTGCTTCACACATAGCATAGCTCCCCCCCGATACTGGACACCCTCGGTTTTGTGGCTAAAAAATATCCATGGCCTGGGGGGGCCCTGCCCCTCTGCACCTGAGGAGGATCTCCTTCTTATCAACATGCTGCGCAAGCTCAGTAGTGTCTCGCGCGCATCCAGCAAGCAAGACCCTCGCCACGTCGCTGAATCTTACGCGCAGCTTCAAGATCAGGACGGGTTCGGCCAAGCACGCCGAGCCGGGGCTTATCATCTGCAAATGCGGCGAAGGAGAAGTCGACCTGTTCCTTCGTCGCAATCTCCGCGAAACGAAAAATCTCGGACTCGGTCTCCGAAGCCGCGGCAACGACCCACTCCTGGATCCGCGGGTCGCACAAACATGAACCTATCGGGCGCAGATCGGCCTCCCAGAAGATCCCCACTGCCGAGGCCAAATGAAACCCAGTCTGCGCCTTCGGCTTCGAGATACGTCATCGCTCTTCGGCGTCGCGGTTTCGCGAGTCTCGCGTCGCCGGGGCCCAGCGCATCGTCGATCGCTCGATCCAAGGCTCGATGAGACGTCGAGGCGAAATACCTCCACCCAACTATCCCCCCGTTTGCCTAATCGTTCTTGCATCGTCCGCATCATCAGTATCGATTGTTTCCGTCGTCGCCCATGTTTGAATCCAGTAGGGCCATGCGAACTCGGCAGTCGATGTCGACGCCATAGATGGCAACGGTAGGTCTCACCTATCGGGTTGAGAAGGTGGATCACGCGCTCTGCGTGACACTTCAACTTTCCGTTGCCTCGGCGACGCTGACCGCCTCGCTCGTTTGCCGGAGATGGGGGGGCCTCCAACTTCCCGCAGATACAATGGAAAAGCCGGTGCATCGGTTGCGAGAAACCCCCAGGTCTAGTCAAGCCAAATTCACGATCTGGCTGCGCGAGCGCGAGGGGCCACAGCATGCGCGGGAGCGCCCAGTGGGGGACTCGTTTCCTAGCCATGCCCATGGGAAAGAGACAGGGAGTAGCCTGCACGTCTTCAGCCGCTGCGGTGGCCTGCTCGACGGCGACTGCCACTGCCGGTGGCAGATCGCTGACAGCTGCCTCCGACATCCGCGCACTCGGAAGCGCCCCCGCCGTTTGCGAGGTCAAAAAACACGCGCATGTAACAGAGAAGTCAGGCACTCTACTCGCACTGAATCATCATGCGGCATGTATCGCGCAACTTCATGTACATGCATGCGATCGCGCCGTGCTTCTTGGAAAACCTCCTGCGCCTGCATCCCTCCGCCGGGTCCCTGCTGTTCCGCGCGGTGCATCCATTCCTTGCATGCAGGTGGCCCTGTGCCGCGTAGCAAATACTTTCTCCCGGGAGGGCACAGGCTGGCGTCGGCGATGTTCCCCCCGAGCTTCCAAGCCAGATGCCAATTATGATGTCTTTCAGCTTCCTGGAGTTCCTGAACCCAAACATCCTGGTCGCGCGCGAAGCCCCGTCGTCTGAATCCTCTGAGTTCTCGAGCAAGTCCTTGAAATTATTGTTCGGGGGCCGCGCGATCAAAAACGTCGCCATGCCGATGCCCCCAAAGTATACTGCGGATACATCTGCATCGTGCCTGCGCCGCTTGCGCACCCTCTGCTCGCGGCCACCCACGATGGCCCTGGGGGCTGCGCGCATAGAAACGTCGCGCCTGGCCACGCAGTTGCTTCGAAGGGAAATGCCAACATTCGTCAACCAGGCCATGCGCAACAAAATGTCGAAAGGTGTCATTCACACCTGCTCGTTCTGCCCACTCATCAGTCGCCTGGCAGAACTGTTCACCAGTCGATGGTCCATGTGGCACTGCATCCGAGGGTCGACTGCGAGTACACCAGCTCGGCATAGGCCTATCCATACCCCACCTTGTTCGTTCATATGGGCCATCTTCAAACCAATGATGATACTGCACAGCCGTCACTACAGGAGAGCGGTCAACATTTCGTCGAAGCGAGCGGGCCGTCTTGGTGAGCTGAAGCTCGAAGCAAGTGCGATACCACACCTCCAGCTTGAGAATACGTCCCAACATCGATTTGGGGACGCCTATGTAGTCCACGCGGGCCTTGTTGCTGCCATTACCAGAATAGAAGGCATGCCCTGCACCGCCAGGTCGATGCGTGTTCGCCAGCGCCATATCACGGGTGTTCAGAATGCATCTCAATATCAGCGTCGTCGGGGATTCAAGGCTGGGATTGCACTGCCCCACTGCGTCTCTATCCTGCATGCCGTGAAGATCGTGGCCGAACTTGCTTTACCCGCAGTGGAAGTTCCAATCCATCCTGAGCGCGTGCATCGCGAAGGTAGCTGTGCAAAGAGATCTTCCACCCACTGAAGGAGCCTGTCGCGCCATCTGCGGCTACATTCATCATGAGCCTCTAACATACCATAGATCGAAATAAAAACACAAATGTCGCCGTGAAGGCGCGACTTGCACCGAACTGCGCCTCCACGCCGTCGGAGTCCTTTGGACGGCCCCCAGTATTGGATTCGACGGGGGTCAGGGAAGAACTTGTGTGCAACCGCCAGCATGCACCCCGCTGAGCTCGAAGTGCCTGACTGCTGCACCTTACGCGCCTTGTGTCATATGCGCGTCTCCGTCGGCCATTGCTAAACAGTCCATCTGCCCGCGCACTTGCTGGTGAAGGTGAGGGGGCTGTCGCTGGAAAGCTGCCGTTGGGTCTGACATGTGCCCGCGAGCGACACCACATGCGCCTGCTCGAAGAAGCGAGGTACGTCCGTCTGAATTATCCTGACCGGCAGCGCGCGTGGGTTGTACTGCACACAGCGGAGACGCCAGCCCGTCGAGGCCGTTGTCTGTGTCGAGGGCCACATCTGCAGGGGTATACCTTGACTCCGCGACAAAAAGTGCGCGCACAAGGGACGAGCAGTGTGAGAGTCCCACGATATGAGAAACAGTGTGAGCCTGCCGCGCTGAAAGAAAGTGCTCGGGCATGATGGCAGCGCTACGATGATGATGACGATGGTGATGAGGATCGCACTCCACTGAGCGCGCACAGCTCATCCTCGGATGAACAGCAAGCGAAACGCTTGCCGCTTCTTGGTGAGATGGCGGGCACGGGCAAAGAAGAGGGCCAAAATGCACTGAGGCCCCCACCTCTCCTGTGCGCGCACAGAGTTGAAGGTGGGAAAAAAATCACGCACGAGGAATATACTGAGCATGTCACGACTATCCGCGCAATCGCGCGCGCACAACACGCGTTCACAAAGACTACAATCCTGATACCGACTCGGGAGGAATGGGAGAACCGAGGGGAGAAGACAGAGGGCGATGCGGCACTTGGAGTAGTGGCGGACACCATGCCCGCCCACGGCCTGACAACCAAACCGGCAAGACATTATGTTCTGCCGATATCGGGCCGCGGTCGCCCAGGCGTTACAAAACCCCGAGGTCACACAAGCGGCAAGCCTGGCGCAGGCCATCCTCCCCTGAGACGCCACAAGGAGGGGAGTGGCAGCACTGCTCTGGGGAAAAGCGCGGAGGACCCTCGGGACCAAAAGCTCCGCGGCGGACTTAAACCGATGAGGAGCTCTGTCACTTTCTTCTGCAAATCATGGGTGAACTCATCTACCTCCTAGGGAAAAGGCCACGAGGCGGTCGCAGTTGGCAATGAGCTGGGCGACATTAGTTTCAGAAACCCATGTCGGATATCTAGCTATCGCGAAGACGTCCCAATCGTAGTGTATCCGACTGTGAAAGCATCGGTGGGTTCCTAGGAAAACTTCGGACTTCATGGATACTCGGAACATAGCGGCCTGGCTTTCTAGGGTCAGGCTTCGCGGCAGAACAGGCCATCCAAGCCTGTCCGGTGACAACAAGAACTCCGACGGAATACTGTGGAACGGGCTAATTACCTGTCAAAGTCTGCAGGCCTTTAATATCGGTGGAGATTGCGTCAGGCGGCGGAAGAGACATCTGCATAATGAAGGTGAGGACCGAGAAGGCAAGGGAGGTGTACGCGTAAATGCTCTAGGTAAGAGATCGAACGTGCCGAACGCGATTCAGGAACTTGCGAAGCGGATCTCCCAAAGTACGAGGGTAACCTCCAGGACCAAGAAAAACGCCCGATACCTTCCCCATGGTGCCGTGTTGCAGCGACCGAACGTCAAGACGAACAGTACGGAAATGGGCGGCAACTGTGTCGTCAGACATCTCATTTATGTGCATGATGATGACGATGGTGATGGTGATGATGATGCTGATGATGCTGATGATGATGACAATGATAGTAGTAGTACCAGGAGTAGGAGTAGGAGAAGGAGGAGGAGGAGGAGGAAATGGAGGAGATGAGGAGGAGGGGGGCAGCGAGAGTAGAAGTGTCACGAGGCACTGTCTCTTCAAAACGAAGACCCAACACCACAGGATAATTGGGAAAAACGGCGGTTGTGCTACGCATCCCATCATTGAAATGTGGCAGCTGAGACGGTACTGCAAATGGCACAAAGAAATGAAAGGGAATTCCTTCAGCCCGCTACACTTGCGACTCCTGCGCTTGCCTACACTTAACACACCGCTCTACTGTGCGCACCAGAGCGCGTTGATGCCGCCGCAGACCGCAGCAGGGGGCGCAACCTCGTTGGGCCCACTGGCAACGCTAGCACCTGTGCTGCGAGTCCCTTAGCTGCTGGTGCTCCCACTGGTCATGTTCCTACCGGTATGGCCCCACTGGTTATGCTCCCAGTCTTGTTACCCATGCGTGCAGCCGCGCTTTTTCAACGGGATAGAAGAACGATGGGAGCATGAGCAGCCGCGCTGCTGTTCCCACTGGTGTTGTTTGCTGTCGAGCTGGTGTTCGTGCCGGTGCTGTTGACAGAGCAGGTCGCGCAGCACAGTTCCTTGACTGCTATGTCGGAGCACTGGCTTTGCAGGTTCTCGCAAGAGGCTCCGCTCCCCGGCTCTGGATCGTCAACACACTCCTCCAGCAACTCATCATGAGCCTCGCAAGTCTTACAGCAGTGCTCCCGGATCGATGCCAAGTCGCAGTAGCCAGCTGCAGCGCTGCAGTTGAACTGATCCCGCGCGATGGTTTCCTTGTCCATGTTAACCTCCAGCGTGGACGCGATTGTGAACTTGAAATCTGGGTCGTCTGCGCAGCCACCGTTAGCGAGGCCCTTTTCTCTTGCCTCGGCCACGCAACTGGCGCAACACTTCTGAGCCACCAATTCGTCAATCTTGCAATAGGATCGCAACACTCCGCACGACGCCTCCTCTGTGCTGTTTTCGTTCAGCTTGATGCTGGTATTCTGATGGTCCACGCAGGACGGCCTGGCGATAGCTGTCGATGTACTATTGTTGAGCGACTCGCCGGCGATAGCCGCCGTTGTACCATTGGTAGCTATCGATGTACTACCTACCGATGCACTACCAATGCCGAGAAAACGAGTCACGATGTAAGGCTCCCCGATTTGATGGTGAGAGCTACTGGAGCACGCCGTGGCTTCGCAAGTGACTGGACAGTACTGCGTCACGTATGATGAGTAATTCGCCGACCTCTTGGGCACTGGCGTGAGAAACCTCTGCCACTCCGGGTGCCCCTCGCAGTATCCCTTCCAGAGGGAGACCAAATTCGTGATCTGAGGGGAGATTACGGCTTGGTTAGGCTAGGAGGCCGAGGTCTACGAATGCGCGGGAGGTCTGAGCCTGTCAGGATGGGCCCATGAGGGCACAAGGAGGCGCCAGGATACTACCAAGATGTCCCAACAAGGCCCTGGGACGCAACCAAGACTACCCAAAACGTTTCCAAGATAATCCAAGAGGCCCCATGAAGCCCCAAGAGACGCATGCGGGACGCACGCGAGGCACCTGGGTAGGCCCCCCGAGAGCAAAAAGAGAAGAATGTGATGTGGTTCTTGGATAGTCGGCACATAACTGTCGTCGGAGGTTGGGGGGTGAGTCCGACGTGAAACGGAGACCCCCCCTACCAAGAAATCGATTTCGGTTTCGGGTTCGTGTCGTGCGTGCCGTGCGTGCGTGTGGGCAAGGCGAAGCTGCGTGGGCGGGCGGGAGGAAATCCTCCTGTCCTGTGGCTGGGCTGCGGCCAGACCAATTGTAACTCCTCCGGCGGCCGGTGCCCCGCGGTGTCCCGCCGATAACACGTGGTGTCTTGTGGTGGCCCGTGGTGTCCCGTTGAGTGAGATCGATAGTGAGATCGATAAGAGATCGATACTGAGATCGATTTGGTGCCCCGTGGTGTCCCGTGGTGTCCCGTGGTGTCCCATTGAGATCGATAGAGAGACCGATAGTGAGATCGACAGGTGTCCCGTGGTGTCCCGTGGTGTCCCGTTGAGTGAGATTGATAGTGAGATCGATAGTGAGACCGATAGTGAGATCGAGAGGTGTCCCGCGGTGTCTCGTGGTGGCCCGTGGTGGCCCGTGGTGTCCCGTGTTGTCCCGTTGAGTGAGATCGATAGTGAGATCGATAGTGAGATCGACAAATGTCCCGTGATGTCCCATGGTGTCCCGTGGTGTCCCGTGGTGTCCCGTTGAGTGAGATCGATAGAGAGATCGATTGAGTCAGATGTTGGTTCCCCCCTCTCCCCCCCCCAACCTCCTTATCACCCGAAGGGTGGTCGTATGGGTAAGCGATGGCAACAAGTGTACGCCCTTCTACCGCGCCACCCAGATGGACTCCCAATGGGCGACAAAAGAGGAGAACGGTGGCAATAAATGAGAAAGGAGGAGCCAAAGGGGGAGAGAAAGAGAACAGGAGCAGAGGGGGATCCTATCTGGCCGTGTCCGCGCAGAGCGCCGTGTACTGCCGGAGTCGCACTCGACGTTGGCGTACCTGTTGTTCGGCGCCTTGACGTCGGAGCAGGACAAGCCCGAGAAACCACTGGGGCCGTTCTCCGAGTCCTGGCATCCGCAGGTAAGGGAGCTCCTGTCTAACTGTGCGAACGACCAGTACTCGCCCTGCTGGACCACCTGCCAGTAGGACTTGTCGATCAGGTACCACTTGTCGGCTCCACTGACAAAATAGGCGAAACTTTCCCCGTCGAAGCTCCAGTATGTCGGGAGGCCGCCGATCTCTTTATCGCCCCGTGGTCGGCTGGCCACCCGAAGGTGTGACTTGTACTCGATACAGTGTGGGTTTAGAGGCTAGCAGCATGAAGCACGTTATGATAGCCCTCCCCATCCGGCAGTGCGCAGTGCGTAGTAGCGCGCTTGATGGGAGCAACAGCAGCAAGCAAGGACGGACGTGGTTACGTGACCATTGAGCTCGAGTCCTCTCGCGCAGTCAAAAAATTGGCTTCCTTCCCGCAGCACGCAGAGCGATAGCAGGCTAAAGGGCGACGAGTGTTGGGCAGAGGATTCGCAACACGACTCGAACGAGCGAGACGACTTCGTGAGCGTCAAGCAGTTGACATTGGTAGCGGAACTACGGCTGCACGGACGCCTACGGCATAGATCCAGGTTCAGCATCAACAGCAGGAAAGGCGAAGGGCAGGGAAACGGTACACAAACATTGGCGACAAAGGCTCCCTCAGCCAGACACCACAGTTCCATAGCACCGTTGACGGCTACAAGTCTTTCAAAAAGAAGGTGGAAATCTACGCTGCCAGAGCTCGGAGCAAGGCAACCGAAAACTTGATAGAATTCGAGGCAATGCGAGGCCTGTATGGCCGAGCGCGGGAGTCGGTGGAGGACATGTAGACCAGCGAGATCGAGAAGGAAAAGGGTTGGCAGACCATCCTGACGGCCCTAGATCAGGCCTGCAGGTCGACCAGACTACTGAGCTCAAGACTGACTTCGAGAACGTTTTTTCCGTGTAGCCCCTCCCCTGATCGACTACCTGACTTGATATCGGACAGCAAGGCATAATGTTCGAGCACGTGACGTTATACTACTGGACAAATTCCTCGGACGGTACCTCCTTCGCCAAGCTGGTCTCGATCGTGAAGAAAAGCAGCTCATCATGAATCAGACGGGGATCTTTAGAGAAGACGGAGAGCGAGATGCAGAAAACCTCTGTCCTGGACTCGATGCCGCCACAGCGGGCGAATTCAGGGGCAGCAGCCTACCAGATTGATGACACCTACGATAACTCTTACGAGGACGAAGCCTGCCGCCAGGATGACGACGTGCACGACCACGTTGGGGATGACGACTACCACCGGATGGTGGACCAGTAAACCCGGAACGGCTTCGGCAAAGAAACAGCATGTACTACATGACCTCCGCCACCATAGCATATATCCCTTCGCCAGGAACTGCCTACAATGTGGACGAATACGACGAAGGAATTACCGTACACACCGACGCGCGCACAAAAATGACTGACGCAAGGCTGGCACGGGGATTATATCGTGTCGTCGCCATGGTGCCGCCACCTCCTCAGGTCCCGAGGAGCTCGCCCCCGGTTGTCACAGAAGGTGGTGCAGGCCAGTCGCGTGGGGCAGCGTGCGGACGATTAGCTGGACGAGCACCAGCACCTTGACGAGGCAGGACGGCGCCAGGACGTGGTCCTCTGTGCCGCTGAGGCTCGCCACCGGGATCCGTGCAAGCGACCTCCGAGACGCTTTGTCTCAGAGGCCAGGGACAGTTTGCACGAGACCGTCCCCACCAAAGCGGCAAGCGACTGCGTGTGGCAGAAGATGCGGCAGACGTTCGGATGGTTGCCCACGAGACACCAGATATGATTCTCCACATGAGCGAGCAGCCAGGCCCGACGGAGGTATGCAAGACAGCGCAGCGACAAGCGCGATACTGGGTCATAAGACGCTCAAGAGGTATTACAAGATGCTGGTCGACAAACAGTTCCCAGTCAAGAATATGACACTTTTTCCCATGGTCCAAAAAAAACAGCTACGGCAACGACTCGACGGGCGAGGTGACGGCGTGTGTTGGTTCACTCCTGACCGATGTGATACCCGGACACACTCCCCTATTCGCGAGGCCCGTCATGGAGGAGCCCCGCATGGTCGTGGACTACAAGAATAACGGAGCCCGCTGGCAGGGACATGATGATTTAATTATGCCAGCAGCCTCAGAAAGGACATTTCATCGCGAACATGTTGGAGATCTACGACACGTGCCTGAAAGAACACGCCGACAAGGCACTACTCCCTCAGAACATGCTGGTTCGTGTTCGCGTGCAGTACCCAATCCGCATGCACACCTTCCTAGGAGAGGATGTGCTGCCATATGAGGAAGCGGTGAATTGTATCGGAGCCATGGTGGAGACAGAGAACAAGATCGACGAGATGACGAAAGCGTGGAATTGGCCGAGGAGCCTGGGACCAAGCACCTGCGCTGGTGAGGAGTCACTACAGCGAATCTTCCAAGAGGTGAACAGCGACCTGGGGAAAGCGAAGGACATCCAGCCGGCAAAGCGGAAGATATGGGAGGTCTGTGGCGGACAATCGCAGCTCACGACAGAATTACGCCGATGCGGACATCATGCGAGGACATTCGGACTCCACGACGACAGGAATTCCAGCGAGCTCAGTCACCAGAAGACTTCCTAAAGCTCGTGGACCTGGAGGAGCCCGATGACATCTGGATGAGTCCCAAGAGCAAGATGTGGACGATCGCGCAGGAGAGCAGTGCAAGACAGGTGCAGATCGCGAACGCTTGAAAGCCTAACGCAGCGAGAACCACGACATACGCCTGATGCTCTGCAAGGAGGCCAAGACGCACATCTGGAGCAGCCAGGATCAGCGCGAAAGAGGGAGACCATTTCCCTATACGACTTGCCTGGACACCACGTACTCTTCGACCAGTGCATGACCGAAGTGGAGATACAAGGTTAAGATTCAGCTCGCAAGAGGACGGGCGTCCGCGCGACACGACGGGGAATGGCAAACGGGCTCAACCAGCTCCAGTGCGATGAGTAGCGCAGCCACTCGGACCACCAGGGTAAGATACCTCGAGCGATTATGCATCGCACAAAAATTGCCGAAAACTATGGCCCTCAGCTGGCCCAGATCCTGAGCGACCTGATGAGCCAGCCCTCTACTCAGGACGACTGGTTCGTACTGAAACTCGAGACGGACGCGAGCACCGTGCAGCACGCGTTCCACATCACGGAGAACATGAATAACGAAAATGTCGCGTCGAAGACATTTACACCAGCAGGCTCCCGAAGAGCGAGCTCAGCCAGAACAGTGTGAAGGTACGTGTGGTGCCTCCACAAGAACATCGAACACCCTGGTCCGAAGGTGTTCGCGAGGAGGTCATCATGTGTGCCAGACGCTACGTGTACTCAGTGTGCGCCGAGCGCCGCAAGGCTTCGCAACTGCTCAAGTCGGCACCGATGGCCTGGAAGACATTCAACCAGGCGCTTCAAGCTGCACGCGGGTGCCGCAAAGATCGCGCACATGCTGGACGGAGCTGGCCGGTTCCAGAAGGGTTAGATCGTGGCCAGACGAGACGGCGAACGGGGCCATCAAGTCGATCGAGGAGACGTGGATCAAGCACCACGGCACGCCCAAGCGGCTCGTCATAGACGAGTATGGTGCAGCGTGCAGCCAGGAGATGCTCGACGGGACCAGCACTCACAACATCGTGATGAAAGTGGTCCCAGGCGAAGCACACCATGAGCTCGGACCCATCGAGCGCGCACACCAGGTTTTGCGCGAGGCGCTGGAGCTCTGGTTCGACGAGACCAGGCTAATTAGGCTACAGTCCAGAGCTCTATTCGGGCGTTGGCAGGACTGGGTTTAGTGGGACCTGGTTTAGCGATGTGTACTGGGGGATGCCCCCCCGCCCCATTCTACTAACCGGAACTGCCGTCACCCGAACAAACACCAGCTACGGCAGACCTGTTTAGTGATTCTGGCCAATTTAGGGGCTCTGGGGCCCTACTACTAACTAGGTCCCCTTACATGGGGTCCTGGCTATACCCGATAGTGACTCCCTGTCCACCGACACGCCGCACATGCCGGCTTCCGAGGCCGACTTGGAGGACGAGACGATCCAGGAGGTGATGAGGCACAGGGCTGCTGCAGCAACAGCATTCATCAGGGGGGACTCGACGGAGCACCTTCGCAGGGGGTTCCTGCGCAAGCGTCGCGACACCCACGGCGCGGTCAGCGTAGGCGAGCTGTACTACTACTGGCGCGACCGTGGTGCGAGCCAACTCAGGAAGTCTCGCTGGAGTCACCCTTCTGGTGGCTCTACGCGAGAGGACGGAAAGAACGGCCAGCCCAAGTGCATTGGATCACACATGGTGGGAGCTTGCTTCGGTGCAGGCCGAACCAGATCCGACAAAGCGTGGAGATCCGCCACCGTGCCCTTGAGGCATGAGTTGGAGTGTTATCAGGTCCCTTGCTCAATCCCTGGAGCCCTCATTTTTAGGGGCACATATTTGGGCTTGCCGCGTGTCCTCTGGGGCGCGTCGCGTTTTGTCGCCTTACTGGTTCGGGCCCACAAGGGCCCGAAGACGGGCCAAGAGTGCTCCAAGGGTGCTCCCAGATGACCCAAGAGGGCCCCGAATCCGTGAACGATCGGCCCAAGACGCCAAAAAGGGCCTCCAGTCGGCAGAAAAAGAGCCCAAGACGTCCGAGAGGCCTCAAAGAGCCGTCCCAAGAGGGCCCGAGAGGCCAAAACCATGTTCCTCTGGCTCGAGCTTCCGATGCTCGAAGACGACCCAAACGGCTTCAGAGGCCCCCGAGAGTGCTCCAAGAGGGCCCCAAGACGGCCCCAAGAGGGCCCCAAGAGGGGGAACACGAACCCAAAATCCGAACCGTCCACTCCAAGGGGCACCCAGGAGGCCCCAAGAGGCCCCCAAGAGGGCCCAAAGAGGCCCCAAAACAGCCGATGGGCCGAGGGCTGGAGATGGTGTGTGGTCCCGACGCCGTGCCTACGCCTGAGCAGGCGATGGCCGAGCGGCTTCGGTAGGCCTCTGACCCACAGGGCTCCAGCCTCCAATCCAAGCCGAGGGCATCTAGCCACCTGGCGCCTGAGCAGCCGACAGCGACTGCCCACAACACCGCGATCGCGATGGACGACGACACCGACTTGGATGGGCAGCGGGAGGCTCCCGGGACAGGCGGAGGGCAGCATTCAGCCCCAGCGCCCGCCACCGGCACCATCATAGATGCTGCGGCTCGGCTCCGTGAGGCTCGCCAGACCACGGACGTCTCGAAGATGGCCTACCTCTGACCTTCGCGGCGCAGCGCGAGGAGAGGGCACGCCAGACGGGCACATACGACAAGACCGAAATCAAGAACGAGGACGTGATGTTCTTGGGTCTAGACGCGGTCCCGCGGCACTGAGACGAAGAATTTCCGCTGTGCTACGCGGCCAGCGAGTTGAGCAAGGAGCATACTAGAGCACAGGACAAGGCCAAGGTCGTGGAGGCGAAGCGCCTTTAGCTCCAGAGCTTCTTCCACAGCTGGGCCTGGGAGCAGGACGTGAGCGAGGTACAGGACCACAACAAAATCCTGCGGGCTCGGTTCCTACTGAAGTGGTCGCGGAACCCTGACGCGAGCGACCAGGCCGAGGCGCGGCTGGTGGTCGGATTTTCGGGACCCCGACGTCATTGCGGGGGCTGGCCAAGTCCCCACATACAGTGACACGTCTGAGGAGGACCCTCATCGTGCTCTTCAGCCGCATCTACGGCTGGATCCTGTTCACCGCCGACGTCAGCACCGCGTTCCTGCAGAGCAAGCGCTCGGACCTTGGCATCTCTGTATTTCTGCGGGCGAAGCGTGCAGGATACTCGGAAACTCGCCAGGTGGGATGAAGCTGCTCAAGAGAATGTACGGACTGAGCGACGGGTCCAGGCTCAAGTGGTTGGAGGCCACGGACAGCATGGTCACCTGCGGCTTCGTAGTCCATCCGGTGGACCCCTGCCTCTTCCTCAGCTACCGCGTCTACGAGTCCAAGATCAACAGGCAGATCATCGGAGCCATCGGCCTGCACGTCGACGACATGCTCGGAGGCAGCAGAAACGTAACAGGCAACGCCTGCTCGCCTCGCGGGTCCAGCTCAAGAAAGTGTTCAGCTTCAGGACGTGGGAGGATACCGAGAATGGCACCCTGAGCCAGGCACGAGACTCGTCCGTGGACTTCTGTGGTAACCAACTCAGCCACAGGACGGATGGCAACTTCCGCATAAGCTGTGAGACCTGCGTCAAGGTACTGAAGCCGATCACAGTTATGAAGAACCAGGTCAGCGTCCCAAAGTTTACCATCAATCACGCAGGGCGAACGCCGACAGCTACGAGGATTGATGAAGCCTGGCCTGGCCCAGTAACCAGGCGGCACCTCACCTTCAGTGCAGCGTAAGCTTAGGGCAGGGTACCATCAACGGGAGTGCTCCCGTGCAGGGCTTACTGGGGACCGACAAGACCCTGAGTCTTGCGAAGATTAACAGCGACGCGTGCCAGATCTTCCTCAAGATATGCGACGACCCCGAGGACGTGGCCTTCGTATGTATGACGGATGCGGCGTGGGCTGTTCGGCGAGACGGCAGTTCAAGGCTACCTGATCATGGCGGCCCACAAGGGCGTGCTGACGGGCTAGACCGTCAAATACGTGGTGGCCGACTGGCACTCGTGGAAACTCCTGGGGGTCAGCAGGTCTTCGCTGGCAAGCGAGGCTCAGGCCGCAGACAGAGGATGGACGCGCTGGAGCATGCGAGGGTGCATTGCAGCCTGATGCTCGGCCTGACCAGGGACCCAAGGCTCAACGGATCCACGCGGGTGCTGGGCCAGAGCGCGCTCGTGTTGGACGCCAAGGCTCTCTCAGGTGCGGCCCAGAAGCCACACGTACACCAACTTCTACGGCAAGAAGGCGGGCAGCAGGTTCTGAAGGAGCGAACGACAGTCAGCTCGACGGGCTGGTAATGAGTGTTAGCTCTGAGCACCAGTTCGCCACCGGCTTGACAAAGCTGTCGGCCCGCCAGTTGCTTGCCAATCGCCTGCGCTCAGGAACGATCAGCCTCACCTTCGAAGACACGTTGCAGATAATAAAGAAGACAGCGAAGGAAGGGCAGGTCGAGGTCAAGCAGTTCGCCAAGACGAAGCCCAGAATAGCAATAACGGTGATGGCAGCAGTAGCGGTACTTACGGACATGGCGGTCGGCGCGAGCGACATTACCAACTACAGCGAGACGGACGACTACGCTACGTATGGTGTAGTTTGGCGGACGCAGAACCACAAGATCGTTATCAGCGTCAACCTGATGACGGCGCTGAAGTCAGTGGTAACCATCCTTATGTTCCTGGCACTGGTGATCAGCTTATGTTTCACTTCCCAGAAGACGTTGAGGAAGGGTCCTAAGCGGGATAAGAAGACGATGACCAACCCGAAACTCAAGAAGCAGAAAGACATGAAGCTCAAGTGGGACGTTGGAGTACAGGGGCCCGTGACTACAGTGCAGTGGGCAAGAACGCCTGATACGGCGGGCGCTACCGAGACGTTACCCAGGGTGTATGGGGAGGATGGGGGGTGACCAAGGAGCTGCACGCTGTGCAGCAGAAACCTCATTGTGAATAATGCAAAAAAGAAAATCCGAATGTGCATCCATTATTGTTCCCAGGCTTTCCTTCACCTCCGTAACCTCACAATGTAGAACAGAATGAGGAGAGGCTCCGTTTCAGCTGCCGATTTAAATGGCGAGCTGCTCTTGAGCTGAATGGACGACGTTAGCATGTCATGCAATATGCGGTAGAACATTGGGGTTTCAAAACAGGTTACTGAACCCTATTGCCGGTGTGAAGAATACACTATGCGATGTGGGTTTAGAGGGTAGTAGCATGAAACATGTTATGATAGACCTCAGCCTTCAGTAGTGTGTAGCAGTGTGTTTTATTGGAGCAGTAGCAGCACCAAACATAGACGGACGTGGACACGTAATACTTCAGCTCCGAAGCAGTGGGTCTGGATATACTCTGGCGGTGGGCCCTGGCCCTCGGGGCGGCCAGCCGACCACGGTTCTCGTGGTTTGCCACGTACATGCCGTGCCCGTGGATCATGATGGCGCTGCAGTCAGCGCCGCTTCCGCCGCCGGCGCCGAACATAGCCAAACCCAGGGCGGGCGCGGGCATATGGCTGTCGCCGATGTCCACGGCCGCGGCAGAGTAGACAGTCAACACGACCTGTCGGATGAAGTCCCCATATGGGAAGTGAGCGGAGGCGAGCACGACGTACCTGCCGCTCCCCAGCGATACTTTTGCCCTGTGGGTTTCCAAAACCCAGCCATAATCCTCGCCCATGACTGGCTCCCCCTCGACGCCAGATTCAGACACCTTGGAAACTGCGAGTGTCACCGCAGGCATCCTGACACTGCAAGGCTTCACCATGCGGGCGCTGGGCCAGGTCAGAGACACCCAGAACTCCTGCTCGTCGTGCATTACAAACTCGTGGACGCTCGCCTTGTTTTGCGAGTCGTGCTGCACAGCTTTGTAAGAAACAGAGTCCGCCGACCCGCTGGGTACTGGCGTGGAGGGGGCCTGCCGCTCTCCAGGACCCTCCCACGGCGTGGGGTCGAGTTTCGCGATATAGTGGGCGGCACCGGGCAGCCAGGGGTCTACAAAATCCCACAAGTCTTCTGGGCGCATGTGGTTTAGAGCGGTTCCTATTCCATCTTCCCTCTTCCCCTTCGGGGGTGGATTCATTCCTCCCACATTTACCCCCTCCCCGTGGGTCTGGACGGGGGAACTGGGCTAAGACGAGGCTACATCCAGGCTGAAACTGAGCTGAAGTCTGGTCTAAGCCTGGATTCAAACTTCTGTAAAACTGTGTTGAGACTGCGCTAAACTGCTGCGGCCAATCTCCCGCCGCACCCTCGTCGTGACAAGTATTGAAAATGTCCGATGATATCATATGTCCGATAAGGTTTGGCCATATCATGTTTTGCGAACGACTCTTTGATATAATACTCTGGTTAGCCCCCCCAGGTACAAAAAGGAAAAACCGAGCGCGCGAAGGCCAAATGTGGAAAACTTGGCTAAATCACCCGCTTCTGATGTGTGAGCCTGTCAGCTTGCCCAGAAGCGGGTGAACAACACACTGACCTTACCGTGCCGCGTTGTCACCACTCGAGACCGAACGAGGAGCAGGCTACGGATCCCCAGCCCGCAAAGAATGCAAGAATCATCCGAAATATCATGAATTAGCAAAATAACATGAATTCTCTGTGGCGCCGCGCCATCGAAGGCGGGCCAATTACAAACATTGATTGGTAGCGGGATAAGCGAGGAAAGCAAGACGGAAGGGAACAAACCAGCGAGGGCAGAAGAGGCGGAAGGGAACGACCAGAGAAAAACTTGTCCACCACCTCGGGAAAGAAGGCACGGGCGAAGCGTGGAAGCGGATGTATTGTTTCTTGTTATAGGAAAAAGCTGGGAGCGGACAGCATGACCTCCCCTGCGGGGCGAAACTTCAAGCAAGTATGCAGGCTGCGCGGCCGCAAATAAATCATCGCGTCCATTAGAAGAAGGAGGAGGAAGAGGACGAGAAGGAGAAGATCATGCGCAAATAGCAAGATCGAGAAACAACATTCGGTATACCACACCACGGCGACAAAGAGATGTGATTGTTGCCCCGTGATGGCCCGGCATTGCCTCCCACCTGGGAGAGCCGGACATAACGGAACTACCCGCGACAATAAATGCTCGGACAAGGGTGCGACTCGGAGGAGGCCAGAAAACACCAAGAAGCCAAATAATACGAGCACCGAGGAACACGAATCGCCCCCACGGTTTCACGGCAATTGCGTTACAACCCATACCAAATGACCCAGTCAGCCGCGCGAAACAAAACCCAACACAGCATCACGCAAGAAACGAAGAGTCCGACAACCCGCTCGGATTAGTAACATGATCTGCGGGCCCCATAGGGAGGGGGCTCTCGCCTGAGACTTCCTCGCAATTCACTCACAGACGAGGCCCCCGCCTCATACTTCCTCCACATTCAGGCCCCTACACCCCAAAATGGGCGACAGTTCAAGTTTCCGACGACCCGCTCTGATTACTCATATGCGCTGCAATGCACTCACAGACGAAGCCCCCGCCGGATACTTCTCCCATTTTCAGGCCTCGGGAACCCAAAAGTGATGACGGTTACGAATTTCCGATGACCCGCCCGGAGTAATCACATGATCTGCGGGCCCCATAGGGAGGGGGTTCCCGCCTGAGACGTCCTCGCAATTCACTCACAGACGAGGCTCCCGCCTCAGATGAGTGAGTGAGTGAGTGACTGAAGGAGTGAAGATTAAGATGAAGATGATGATGATGATGACGATGATTATGATGATGATTACGATGATGATGATAATGATGATGAAGAGGATGATGATGATGATGATGATGATGGCGACGATGACGATGTCCCCCTTCGAATGCGAAAGTTCGTGAAGACCCCGCCAAGCAGGGAGAGAGAAGGGGAGGCTTGAGCGAATTTGGACGGAGCCAAACAGGACCGCGGAAAGACAGACGGGCGACAACATTCAAGAGCATGTTCAGCCCGCCCCCTCCCCGACCGCGGCCATGACAGCACGACCCTCTATCCTTTTATATCAAGATCGCATCTCTCGGACGGCGCAGCGTTTGACTTCACGAACAGCGGAACCGATCGCCCCCGAAAACGCCCGAATTGGTTTCTGGCCCATGTCAACACACAAGGCGGGATAAATTGTCGATGTGATCCTCATCGGCGGCACCCTCTGAGTGAACGCTGCGAAAGACAAGCGGCGACTTACTGGGAGCAGGGGCACACCGATGGCGACAGTTAGAATCATTAGAAACGAGAGGCCCGCCCGAAGCCGACACACTTTCGAGCGTCGCGCGGCGGCTCGAAGCAGAAAAGAGCGCACGGGCCACCTCGGAGGTCCAGACGCCGCGAGTGTGGCTCCAGAAATCTAAATACTCCCGAACAGAACTTAATTGCTTCTTGCAGGGACTGATTAAAATCGCTGGGCACCCAGCGGAGAAAGCAGCATTAGCAGCGTTCCGAAAATTATGGATGCATTGGTGGATACTCGAGCGCAACTCGTAACTGCCGTCTCCAGTGGTCAGAGCTCAAGTCGGCAAGCGTCACAGCAATGCCGCGAACGACACAAGAACCGACCCACCCAATGAGCAACTTGCGAACAACGGCGAAATCACACATGGAGGCATTCACCCAAATCGCACTGCGTTCACTGGACTCACTGAGGCATCTACCCACTTCACATTTCGAGAATCCGACCCTAACGAACACCCAGCTCCTTTTCTTCTCGCAACCGAATCGGAGCCCCCGGCGCAGCTGTCGCGCAAGGCCCTCAGCAGACTGGGCGGCGAGAAGGCAGGGGCCTCCAGGATGTCGATGCCCTGCTGCATTCCTCCCTGCCGCGCGTGGATCACCTCGCCCCAGTCCACCACAGCGCGTGGCACCGCGTTCAGCAACGACAGGTAGCGGACGCGTCTGGCGTAGCGCAAGCTGCTGCGCGGGCTGGCGCGCCTCAGCCGCTCGGTCACGGCGGCGAGCGGGAGCTGGCCCACCGCTGCCCCGTGACTCGCGGCCCCGTGAGGCACTTGGTAGGCCACCGCCGTGGGCGCCTCGGGCAGCGCTGCCAGCCGCTCCTCGAAACCCTCGGCGAACCACGGGCCGTGGAACCACCACAGCTGGGAACCGGGGCCCCGAGCCCTCCGCAGGCGCCGCAGCGACGCGCTGCCGCCGCCGCTCCAGCAGGCCTCCCGCAGGATCACCCCCTCGTCGGCGCCCATGACCTTGCCCCTCGCCTCCTCGTCGCTGGGGTACACGAGCAGGGCCCGGGTGGGCGTCGCGCCCCTGCCAGGCCCGATCAAGGCCCTGGGAACCATGCTCACCGGGTCTGACGGCGGGCGCAGCAGGCCATCCCAGGCCAGCCACAGCGCCGTCGCGAACTCCAGGTCCTTCAGCAGCAGGCCGACCCCGACCACGACCAGCACCCACGGGCGGCACAAGGGTTCGCGAGACCCTCCGCGCGCCCGACGGCGGAGCCCCGCTAGCGCCGCGCGCGCCACGGGAAGTTGCCGCGGCGGGCCGTCCCCGGGCTGGGCCGCCAGCTGCCTCGATCCCTCGCCGACCTCCATCCCGTCGAAGAACAGCACGTTTACGGACTTGGCGATTGGCTCGTCGAGGCGCCGAGTGGAGATTTCCTGCAAGGTCCTCTCGCTGGCGCAATCGAGAAGTTCCGCACCCGCTCTCAGAGGGCGGCACGCGTAGGCGGCTTGACCTTGTCGGTCTTCGAGAAGGTCAGCCCAGCTCGACGTCGCCCCACACGGCGCTGCGGCGGGCTCCCCTGGCTCTCGCTCTCTGCCCCCCCATGATCTCGGCTCGAGTCAATGGTGGGCCAACTCGACTCCGCACAGCCGCTGCTGGAGGCGCTGCAGGGGCCGAGGCTGAGGCGGCGCTCTGGGCAGCAGGCGGCTTCCAACGAGCCCTCCTGGTCGCCATGCGACTGGGCGGCGCTCTCGGCGGCGCGGCCTCGCCCAGGCTGCTCGCGCACCCCAACCTCGCCGAGGAGGCGCGCGCCATCCTAGCCCCGCCAGGCGGCTGCCTCGCTGCATGCGCGGGCGAGGGCCGAGGCCGCGAGGCCCCGCGCCTCGTCAGCGCCGAGCTGGCCAGCACGGCGGTAGTCGCCGTCGCGGGAGGCAGGCGGCCGTCCGATAGCGCGGCCCACAGTGTCCGCGGAGTTAAGCTCGCTTGGGAACCAGCGCACAGCTACGGAATACCACCCCGTCAGAATACTCACAGCTGCCAGCTCCCTGCACGTTTGATTGAGAACGACACGTGAAGACCTTCTCTTTTCAAGAGCCAGCGTCAGGCTGAGATTGTCGCAGAGACTGAGGGTAACGCGACCGAAAGCTCCAGCGCGCCGCAGCCGACGCCTCACTCCAGCGACCAGCGCGCGGCCCCCCAAGCGCACGATGTCCTCGAGCCGCTGCAATCGCCCGAACACCTTCAGCTTCCAGGAGTCCGGCGGCAGCAAGAAGCTCACCTGATGCCTCCCACGAGTGCTGTTGAAGGACTGGAGCTCGCTTGCGTCCGCTGTCACTGGGGCGCCTGCTGAGGGGCTGGAGCTTGCTTGCGTTCGCCGCTGCTGAGCTACCTCGTCAAGAGTGGGAACTGTCTGGTCATCACCAAGCTCTGGGCCTGCCACGCCCATCATGTCCACGCGGTCGCTGAGACCCTCGTGGTTCCGAACGGCATCGGGCTCGAAGTCCACCTGGTGCCTCCCAGGCGTGCTGTTGAGGGTCTGGAGCTCGCTTGCGTTCGCCGTCGCTGGGCCCCCTGCTGAGGGACTGGAGATTGCTTGCGTTCGCCGCTGCTGGGCTACCTCGTCAAGGGTTGGAACTGTCTGGGCATTGTCAAGCGCTGGGCCTGTCACGCCCTTCAACTCCACGTGGCCGCTGGGGCCCCCATGGTTCTGAACGACAACGAAAGCATGTCGACCACCGCCCCACGCACTAAGCATCAGCCCAGACGTCCCACGAAGCCCGCGTCGCTGAGGTCGCCCGAGCCCGTCGAGGCGACCGCAGCCAGCACCACGGGGTCCACCTCCAGCTCGACGCCCAGGTAGGCGAAAACGACGAGCGCTGCTGCCACGCGGCACTCGGCGGCAACCTCTGGCCAGAGCCGCCACCGCCGCGAC